GGTCCCCGGTCCGCTACGGGGGCAACACTGAGAGTTGCGATCCGTTGCCGGACACGGAAAAAGACAAAAAAAAAAAAAAGACTTTCTTTAAAAAGCTAGTGTTGATGTGGAGAAAGGAACCCTCATACAATGGTAGAAAGTTAAAACGGTACAGTCTCTGTAGAAAATAGTCCAGCAGTTCTCCAAAAAGTTAAACACAGACTTACCACATGATCCAGAAATTTCACTCCTAGATTATATACCCAAGAGAAATAAAAACATATATCCACACAAAAACTGGTCCATGAACATTCATAGCAACATTATTTTGTTTGTTTGTGTTTTGCTCTTTTTTGGGGAGATTGGCCAGGACAGGGATCCAAACCCTTGGCCTCAGTGTTAAAACACAGCACTCTAACCAACAGAGCTAACAGGCCAGCCCTCATAGCAGCATTATTCAGAAGAGCTGAAAAGTAAAAACAACTGAAATGTCCATCAACTAATGAACAAGACAAACTAAATGTGATATATCCTTACCATAGAATAAAAAAGAATGAAATTCTGACACACACTATAACACGAACGGATTCTGAAAACATTATAATATGCTAAGTGAAAGAAGCATAAAAGACCACATGTGTGATTCCATTTGTATGAAATGTCCAGAACAGTCAAGTCTATAACGACAGAAAGTAGATTACTGGCTGCCCAAGGCTGGGAAGGAGGAGGGGAGTGTTGGGGGATGGGGTGGAGCGGGGAATAACTGCTAATGGGTATAGAGTTTCCTTCCAAGATGATAAAAATGTTCTAAAATTGACTCTGGTGACAGTTGTACGACCCTGTGAATATACTAAGAAATGTTGTGTGCCTCAAATGGGTGAGCCAAGCGGCACGTGCCCAGCACTGACTGACAGCTTACCTCTCACAGATTCTGTAGCCTTCATTGACACCCACTGCTTTGAACTTCAAGTTGCCTTTCGTCCGCTCCAGTTCCCAGCACCAGTCTTTCAGTGTGTCAAACATTACTGTGTGATTCTTGGGATCGGTGGCTAACAAAACAGAAATTAAAGACAGTGAAATCTTTTCGTGAAGCACTAGTATTTTAATTATGTGAAAGTGGATCTTCAGGCCCTGATTTCTTCCACTAAGCCCATTTTTATACATGTAGAATGAATTTATTGTTTAATCGCAACATTTTTTTGTTCCATTTTTTGTCATTAATCCAAAATTATGTCTGAAGCTGTGTCTTTTTATATTGTAGGGAAGGAACTGTTCTTGTTCCATTCCTTGCAAAAGTAATTTATAGCTCCATTTTCAGTCATCTGACCATAAGATAATTTATATAACACAAAAATATAGGCTTGGCACAAATGCTAAAATAACAAAATATTTTTAGTCTTACCAATATATGCATAAGATGGCAAACTGATTTGAATAGCATGTCAGATTCTTAAATGTAAATCCTCTTCCATGTGAAGAGGCACTGCCTGCAAGAGGACTGTTCAGTGTGACATCTGGTTACTGAAGGCCATAAGCAGATCAGACAGCCATGGTGAGGGCTGGGGCCTGCTACCCAAGGTCCACATGGTGACAGGTACTTCTGCAGCTAACCCAGCCCTGCCAGCATGCGCTAGGACAAAATGCCCAGGAGCACTGCTTTTGCAGCCCAACAGACATGTTGCTGGTCCTCTCCCAGCCACGGCGCTCCTTGCCAGTGGTGACATGCACTAAAATAGTTTCAGGTATATACATAAATTCTATCACAAATAGGTAGCTGAAGCCTTTGCACATCTAAAAAACCACGCCTGTGTTATAATACCAAGGTGAAGGGTTCAGATCCCCATACTGGCCAGTTGCCCAAAAAACCAAAAATAAATAAAATAAAATATTTAAAAAAAAAAAAAAAAGCTGGCTAGTTAGCTCAGTCACTTGGAGCATGATGTTATTATAACACCACGGTCAAGGGTTCGGATTCCCGTATTGGCCAGCCACCAAAAAAAATGGAAAACAATAAAAATAAAAAACTAAGCCTAGCTTTGCACCGTGGCAGTATCATATAGCCAATGAGGTTTATCTGAAGCATAATTATTGGTAATTGAAAACTTTTCTAAAAAACCAAGCTGTCTGGGAGAAACAAAGTGTTTGATAAAAGTAACCTACTTGCTCTTTTTAATAAAACCAGATAACAGCAAAAATTAGAAGAATAATGATAATAACAATAGTCAATGCTTACATATCACGTATACTGTAGCAGGTACTGTTCTGAGCATATTACAGTGTATTAACTCAATCCTCACAACCCTATAGGATAGGGGATATAAAAGGTAATATTGTTCCATGTTACAGACATATTACAGACATGACACAGAAAGGTCAAGTAACTTGCCTAGGTCACAAAGCTAGGCAATGGTGGAACTGGAATTCAAACCCAGGCAGCTAAAAAGGAAATTCCCATAAAGCACTAACAAAAAAATTTTTTTTTTTTAAATTTCCCCATGGGAATAATGACACTCCCATTCAAGGACAGTAGGCCATTCTTAGCAATACAGACCAGTCCTTCCTTAAAATGCCAATGTCATAAACCTTTATGACCTTTCAGATAAAACACAAGTGTGAATTATTAAGCCAGGGAATAATTAAAGGTATTCAAATTGCAAAGCACCCATCTCTACAAACCCCTACTCAATGAGAAAGCTAATTGGCCAAGAATCAGGATATAAGGAAGAAGCAGAATTCCTCATAACAGAGTATGATTTTCCAAATGTGAGCCCAGTAAATGTTTATGTAAATTATAGTAATCAACAAGTTATATTTGTGTATCTCATGTTGCCATAAGCTATAAGCCAGCACCCAGTTAATCAGCACTTGCATACACAGCTACATTAAAAAGATGTCATTCACGAAGATGAACTTACTGAATTAAGGGACAAGTTTTCAGCCTAATCTTAGTGTGAGTGTCAGTGTAATTCTCTGAACATAGTCTGTCCTGAATAATGTGTAGTTCTACTCTCAATTAACTCTCACTTAATGGGTACACCCTATGTGCCATGTATTTAACAATTTACAATCTTCACAAGACTTCAAGGGAAGCATTAATGCTGCTGTTTTTAAAACAGATGCCTCAAAAGTCAAGTGTCATCTCCAGGATCACACAGCTAGAAAGCAGCTGGGCAAGGATTTGAAATCAGACAGGACAGATGCCAAAACCCACACCTATTCTACTAAATCTCCATAGTTCCCAAAATGCCACATGCTCTCTGGGGGACCTTCATCTCTGCACAAGCCAATCCCTCTGCCTAAAAAGCTCCTCTAAGCCTCCCATATGCTGCACATCCTCTGCCATCAGTCAGGCACAGCGTTCTCCCTCTGACAGTCCACCCTTCCCCAGAGTGGGTGGGCACCAAAGCAGAGGACCTATCCCTGTTGCCTTTCCTATCTGACTTTCTCCTCCTTGAGGGCATGGATTTAGTCTTATTCACCTCCATATCTCCACAGGGCCTGGCCCACAGCAAGTGTTCAATAAACTTATACGAAATGAGCATTCCAGAAAATCACTGCAGGGGCCGGCCCGGTGGTGCACTGGATAGTGCGCCACTTGGGAAGCGCGGCGGCGCTCCCACCCGAGGGTTCGGATCCCACATACAGACCAGTTCCTGCTCACTGGCTGAGCGAGGCGCGGGAGCAACACCGAGGGTTGTGATCCCGTTGCCGGTCCCCGGTCCGGTGCGGGGGCGACACTGAGGGTTGCGATCCGTTGCCGGACACGGAAAAAAAAAAGACAAAAAGACAAAAAAAGAAAAAAAGAAAAAAAAGAAAATCACTGCAGGTGCTTCTAAAGGAAACTGCCACTTCCCTGACAAAAAGCACCTGCAACTCAGGATCACTAAACACCAACTTCATGTTAGGAGTAATGGGCAGGGCAAGTGGACAGACTGAGGGAGAGATCTACAGAAGGAAAAAGACATCTGTGAAAATACCTTCAATGCTAACTAGGCTTTACTAATGGCTAATTCAGATGGCCAGAGTTTCTTACTTTAAAGCTTGCTCTTTTTCAGCCAAGTGAATGGAAAACATTTGGAAACTTAAGTTTTCTCTTACCAAACTAGTTTTCTGATGTGCTTTTCCATTTCCCCAAAATATTTGCTATAAAGCATGTTCTGGTTGTTTAAAAACTTTTGAGAGCAAGACAATTTCTAGAGTTTTATGAAATGAAATTAAGTATATTTAAGTGGAAAAAAGAACCCAGAGACAAACATGGTTACTTATTTACTTTTTGGTGGGTGGCCATTATGGGGATCTGAACCCTTTGACCTTGGTGTTATAATACTGTGCTCTAACCAACTGAGCCAACTGGCCAGCCATGGTTATTTTAAACTTGTCTCAATTCTGTTTCTCTATAGTCTCACATTCCTAGTTATAATACATTGATTTTATTTTTCATAAGAAGCAACCAAACAATTCCTTGCAAAAAGCAAGCAAACAAACCCAAAAGATAAAGTTAAAACAAAGATCACAGGAAAAAAATAGAAACTTCCTGAATGAATCATTCAAGCAAGAAATGACCAACTTCTAGTGAACAGGGGGAAAAAAGCCGGAAAAACAGACAAACAAACAAACAAACAAACCCAGCTGGTTAGTTCAGTTGGTTAGAATGTGGTGCTGATAACACCACGGTCCAGGGTTCAATCCCTGTGCTGGGCAGCTGGCCCCCACAAAAAAACAAACAAACCCATGGATAGGTTTTCCACCACTGGTTTCAGGTGGGAATTGGAGGGGTCATATCTACCCTCAAATTGAAACCCAGAAGACTTACCTGTACTGTTTTGTGCAGCAGTAGCATAGGAAAACAAAAACAATCGTTTAAGCAGTTTAGGAGCCTGGGTATGATGAATTATGCCACTGACAATCTAGAAGAGAAGGAACCAATAGATATAGTTATGCTGTTGACAGATAAACACTAAGAGAGATAAGAATCAAGTTGTCTAGTTTCTCAGTCATGTTAATGGGGCTCCAATGGACACACATTATAACACTTACTGAGGTCTGTGCATCTATGACATCAGCTCTTGGAATAATGCCAAATCAACAGAATGCTAATCATTTTGTCAAGTTTTCTAAGAGCTCTGAATTTCTAGAGGTATTTTTTTAAAGTTTTAAATAGTCTAATTTCTCAAAAACAAAGTATTAAAAAACTTAAGTGCCATATTAAGTCAGATACTCCTAAATTCTAACTTGTCAAAGACACTGATATCAGATAATAACCAAAATACTCAGCTGTTCTGACCCACTTGTTGTGGACTTTAGGCCCTTCTTCTAGAAGATGAGAAAAAGAAATCAATCTATCATGCTTTCTGTTTAGATAGATGACTAAAACTATCATTCAAAATGAAGTTTCTGGCTTCTCAGGGAATTTTCCATATCTACACCACTCTTTTCCTACTCAGAATAGATTCTGGAGTCATGTGTATTATTCTAACTACCACACTATCTGAAAGAAAATAAAAGAGGGACCTCTAAGTCTGCATAACTCACAGTAGCCAAGACAATATACATGAGCTGGCCTTGTGCTAGGTTTCCCCTGAAGTATTTACCCTGAGAGTGGTAACTCTGAGGCCTTCACTGTCTTAATACGAGAAATCTTGGAAGTTACAATGAACATCAAATTGGTACAGCCGCTTAGTCTCCACAAACACCCCTGATGATTTGGCTTTGCTCATGTCCTGTGTGTGTACTCCCTCCTTCCACGCACAACCAATACCTCCCAGAGGTGAGCTCATTCATTCATGGAAGCTCAAAGTCACCACTACTGTATTTTTGGAAAGACTGTCAGAGGTGGGGAAGAGGGATAAACTTCTAGCTACCCCTTCCTTCCATTTCCCTAACTGCCTCCTGACCTGGTTAGCCACTTCCCACCCTTTAGAGGTTCCAGGAATAAAAACACTATGGATTGAAGAATTAAAGGTAGCACGTGTCAATATTATACACGGGCATTCTTTACCAAATTACTTCCCATATTCTAATCAAAGAATATGGGATTACAATCAATTTCAGCTTCACAGTGGGAGAGGCTCCCCTCAACCTTCATGCAAGGTAAGCAAACACTAGCATCAGTAGGGAAAACCTGATGGGAAATAAAACCTAAAAACACATGCAACTAGTTACCCTTTTGACTTCCTCTTCCTTGGTGTACCTCAGACAAAAGTGGAACACTCGGAGGTCTTTGCAGTGGATGATGAGTTTCTCAGGGTATTTCTTCAGTTGTCCAAAGAGAGTTTTTTTCTTCTCATCAAACACTACAGATCAACGATGATATCAGGAAGGAAAACTATGTTATTTGACAATAAGTTCATACTAAAGAGACAAAGTAGACTATTAACTTCTAAGGGTACCTCTGTAAAGTGAGAAAAAAATACTGTCTGCCTTCTAAGTGACTCTTAGCAGGAGCCAGTCCATCTGAGCAGAGCCTTGGCTCTCTGAGAACAGCCAGGGTTCTTCATTCCTCTGGAGTAAGCACAAGACCAAAACAGACTGGCCACTATCAGTAGAACTGACTCCACTGGCCTTTAAAAAACCCAGCTCCGGGCCGGCCCCGTGGCACACTCGGGAGGGTGCAGTGCTGGGAGCACAGTAGCGCTCCCGCCGCGGGTTTGGATCCTATATAGGGATGGCCGGTGCGCTCACTGGCTGAGCGCGGTGCAGCCGGTCACAAAAAAAAAAAACAACCAAAAAACAAAAAACCCAGCTCCAAAAGCTGAGATTACAAAAGATGGAAGGAAGATCACTAAGGACACGCTTTCGTGACAGTCAACTCCTGGGTTTATAGCTAGGGCCCCTCCTGACACCCCTCTCCCTGTCCCAGAGTTTGGACCCATTCAGCACATATTGGTGCTGAGAACATCATAAATGGCTACTGGATGATTTCTGAAAATGTTCTGAACACAAAAATAGAGAAGTGGAACAGAGGGAAGCTTGGCAGGAGAGGCTTGTCAAGTCAGCAGACATACTAAGACAATCTAATGCAATCCAATGGACCTTTATCAGATTAGCCTGTAAAGTAAAACCTATGCAGCTGACATGAAAGCCAACAGCATGATTAGCATCTAATATATACTGGCATTGTGTGAAGTATTAGAAAGAACAGGCATCAAGTCCAAGTCTAAGATTCTCCAGCTAAGTGATCCCAAACAAGCCACTTCACATCTCAATGTTATTATCATCCATACAAACTGACTCAGCTGGCTGGTTAGCTCAGATGGTTAGAATGCAGCCTTACAACACCAATGTCATGGGTTCAGATCCCCATACTGGCCAACTACCAAAAAAAAAAAAAAAAACCCCCCCCCAAACACGTTTTTTTTTTTTTTTAAAGATGACCGGTAAGGGGATCTTAACCCTTGACTTGGTGTTGTCAGCACCACGCTCTCCCAAGTGAGGAAAACGGCCATCCCTATATAGGGATGGCCGTTTTCCTCACTTGGGAGAGCGTGGTGCTGACAACACCAAGTCAAGGGTTAAGATCCCCTTACCGGTCATCTTTAAAAAAAAAAAAGAAAGAAAGAAAAACATCAGTTTTGGGGGCGGTTTTTTTTTTTTTTTAAAGATGACCGGTAAGGGGATCTTAACCCTTGACTTGGTGTTGTCAGCACCACGCTCTCCCAAGTGAGGAAAACGGCCATCCCTATATAGGGATCTGAACCCGTGGCCTTGGTGTTATCAGCACCACACTCTCTCAAGTGAGCCATAGGCCAGCCCCAAAAACTGATTTCAACAAGATAATGTATGTGAAAAAATTTTAGTAAACTATAAATGGTTATAAAAATATTATCATCATTATCATTATACTTTTTAAGGCTGGCAACACCCCAAAGGGAAACAGAGACTTACCTCCATAAATCTGATCGATACAGTGGAGTGTAATATCATTTTCTCCTACAACTTTATTCTTAAATTGCATTTCCTAGAAGATGCAAAAGGAAACAACTGTGACTCCCCTCTGCACTGTTAGACACTTAGAGGCAGAGCAAATCACCATCCTGCACTTCAGTATTAAGAAAAAAGGGGAAATACAGCCACATTCTTCAGAAAGGGACAAAGAAGTATGTGAGAAAAGCTCATGAGCACTCGTTTTTCAAAGCCAGAGCGGCCATTTCTGGGCCGCTCTCAGGCAAACCCAGCATGCCATACACAATCACTTTGAGAAGTGTGGAGAAGTGACATGAAGGTTAACACTTCTCCATATAAATAAAACAGGTGATAGACAGAGCTCCTGAAGCCAGCTTTAAGAAGAAAACACTGGGAGATTCAAGTTTCTAGTCAATGCCGTCTCTGTGCAGGACCAGGAGCCACGCTGCTCCAGCAGCCAGCAGCAGAGTGGACCAGACTCAGCATAGTTCCAGTGCTGCTGTCCAAGAAGCAAGGGTGGTCCGGACGCCTGGCGCCCTGGGCCAGGTTTCCATCAACGGATGGTGCTCGCTTAGTGGTGTGGGCAGTTCTCTCCTTACTCGACTGTTCACTCTTCATAAGTAGGGGCAAGTCTCACAAGGACACTGCTGTTAGGTTCAGATTAAATGTAAAGCAAACCCAAATTCAAAGGCTGCATTCACTATCAGTTTCATTATTGAACTCAGTTCCTGAATTTGAGGAAGAGTTTAGTACATAGAAAACACAGGGAACCAGTATATTTGGGGAAATGTTATTCCAGGGATTGATATATTCTGCATTGAAATACAGACGAAGAAAAAGTTGATGGTGTCAACCTCTGACATCAAAAGCAAGCCAGAGTGACAAGAGGCAGAGGTGGGAAATTTCTAAATGGCCCACTGAAAAAGTGAAAAGTGATCCTGCAGGACAGAGAGCAGACCAGAGATGAGGTAGGACAGAATAGGGACATCTCCCAGGGAGGCTGCTCATAAATATTCAGACTGGATCAGCACTAGCAGTTATGAACCCATAATACACTGATGACAGCTTAACCACCCTATCAATCAACGTGCTACACCTGGAACTTCAGATTACAAAAACCACTGCACCTGTGCACTAGGAGGAACAAAGTACAGATGACCTTACACCCCCACCACGTGAGACCAGCAGTGACTTCGCTGGCATGACCAGAAACTTCAGAAACTCAGGGACACATAACAGGAAGCTGACGCAGTCTCACATTGGCCTATTAGGCCTTAATTACCCTAGATCCTACCCCATGGCCAAATATTCTTCCTCCTAGTGAGGACGGAGAAACACCCCATCCTAGAACCACACAGGGACCCTCCCCTTAGGCATCGGGGGTGTTCCTTGCTTGCAGGAGACACCCCACATGCTTCTGCACCCTACTTTGGCTTTGGCGTTTTTTTCTTTTTTGTTTTTTTACATAAAGCCCCGTTATGTTCCATCCATCTGGCCCTTTTTCCTTTCGTTTTGTTGGTCCTGTGAAAAATTTTTCTTTACGGTTTGACCAAGAACCTGGAACAACCATCCGGTAACAGTGAGAAGGACTTCTGTCTTTTGTATTTATGTGTGTTGGAAGGCAGAAGCTAGGGAAAAAAACAACAGAGCCACAACCGTACTGTTTCCCCCAAACTCAGCCAAATGCAGCACATACATACATCATTCTCCAATGCAGATTCATTATCACCCAAGAAAGCAATCTTGAAGTCTGTGCAGACAAGTCTCCCATAGACCCCTCGCTGACAGGAATCTTCTTGGACATACTTCAGTACTGTGCTGGCTTCACAAAGCAGCTGTTCACCTGGTGGAAACCAAAACAGTCCTTCTTACAGTCCTCAAGGAACATATAGTATGCAATCATTAAAATCTTTCCAGCTCTATTTATGTAAGGACAAACACAACACAACACAGCACTTCAGAACTTTACAATTTTCAGCATGGCAGGAGCTGCAAAACTTAGAGAAGATGCAGCAGAGTGGGGATACTGATAAGTAAAATCAAAATGGCTCAGAAACACCTTCACACAGAGCATTCCTCCATCTTCTCACTGTAACAGAAGTTTCCAAATAGGTGGTAATGATCTCAGCTGTGCTTTCAAGAATAGATCTTACCGTTTTTGTTACTTGGACCCAAACAGATGTTCCATAGACGTGATACCCTGACTGAGCCCTGGAATGGAGACCCAAGCCCACCTCCCTGTGAGAGTGGCCACTTCTTTTTTTTTTTTTGGCAGCTGGCTGGTACGGGGATCCGAACCCATGACCATGGTGTTATTGGCACCATGTTCTAACCAAGAGAGTGGCCATCTTTAACACTGGAATTGCTGAGAGGGTGCAGGGGTGTCTCCCACCCAGTGCTTCCAGGCAGCCAGTGCTTCCAGGCAGCTTCCTTAGACAAGAGAGGTGCTGCAACCTTCCATGGCAGGACCACCCTCATGCTGGCTCCACGCTGGGAGGATGGAGGAAACAGGAGGTCAGAGGGTTGTGCGAAAAAAACTGCTTCCGCTCTTTCTTAGTGGAGAGTATTTCCTCTCAGTGTGTCACCTCTCCTGCTCCAGCTGTGGGCCCACGAGAGACTGCGGTTCCTGAGACAGGGAGTACTTCTCTCTCCAGTCAAAAAGATTAGGACAGGGGTAGTAATTGTTCTCTGCTCCCTGGAAGTGGAGAAGCTCATGAGGGCTGGGTGTCTGGGTGAGGGCAGGAAAAAAGGAAAATGTGGGGGAAATGGGAAATTAAGTGTTAAGTATTTTACAATAAAAAAGAAAAGGAATTTTCTTCTCATCCAACAGATAACCATCTTCCCCTCAGAATCTCCTGGATATCTCCTTCAAGGTCTTTAAATTTACTTTCTGGCTCAAAATTCGTTTAGTCTGGCTTTCAGTATGAAAACAAGAGTTGCAGACACTCAGACTATTGAGGAACACATATTATGCTGTGTTTTCTCCCCTGTCCTTCAAGGNCTTTTGTATTTATGTGTGTTGGAAGGCAGAAGCTAGGGAAAAAAACAACAGAGCCACAACCGTACTGTTTCCCCCAAACTCAGCCAAATGCAGCACATACATACATCATTCTCCAATGCAGATTCATTATCACCCAAGAAAGCAATCTTGAAGTCTGTGCAGACAAGTCTCCCATAGACCCCTCGCTGACAGGAATCTTCTTGGACATACTTCAGTACTGTGCTGGCTTCACAAAGCAGCTGTTCACCTGGTGGAAACCAAAACAGTCCTTCTTACAGTCCTCAAGGAACATATAGTATGCAATCATTAAAATCTTTCCAGCTCTATTTATGTAAGGACAAACACAACACAACACAGCACTTCAGAACTTTACAATTTTCAGCATGGCAGGAGCTGCAAAACTTAGAGAAGATGCAGCAGAGTGGGGATACTGATAAGTAAAATCAAAATGGCTCAGAAACACCTTCACACAGAGCATTCCTCCATCTTCTCACTGTAACAGAAGTTTCCAAATAGGTGGTAATGATCTCAGCTGTGCTTTCAAGAATAGATCTTACCGTTTTTGTTACTTGGACCCAAACAGATGTTCCATAGACGTGATACCCTGACTGAGCCCTGGAATGGAGACCCAAGCCCACCTCCCTGTGAGAGTGGCCACTTCTTTTTTTTTTTTTGGCAGCTGGCTGGTACGGGGATCCGAACCCATGACCATGGTGTTATTGGCACCATGTTCTAACCAAGAGAGTGGCCATCTTTAACACTGGAATTGCTGAGAGGGTGCAGGGGTGTCTCCCACCCAGTGCTTCCAGGCAGCCAGTGCTTCCAGGCAGCTTCCTTAGACAAGAGAGGTGCTGCAACCTTCCATGGCAGGACCACCCTCATGCTGGCTCCACGCTGGGAGGATGGAGGAAACAGGAGGTCAGAGGGTTGTGCGAAAAAAACTGCTTCCGCTCTTTCTTAGTGGAGAGTATTTCCTCTCAGTGTGTCACCTCTCCTGCTCCAGCTGTGGGCCCACGAGAGACTGCGGTTCCTGAGACAGGGAGTACTTCTCTCTCCAGTCAAAAAGATTAGGACAGGGGTAGTAATTGTTCTCTGCTCCCTGGAAGTGGAGAAGCTCATGAGGGCTGGGTGTCTGGGTGAGGGCAGGAAAAAAGGAAAATGTGGGGGAAATGGGAAATTAAGTGTTAAGTATTTTACAATAAAAAAGAAAAGGAATTTTCTTCTCATCCAACAGATAACCATCTTCCCCTCAGAATCTCCTTCTGGATATCTCCTTCAAGGTCTTTAAATTTACTTTCTGGCTCAAAATTCGTTTAGTCTGGCTTTCAGTATGAAAACAAGAGTTTTAAAAAAGAAAAGGAATTTTCTTCTCATCCAACAGATAACCATCTTCCCCTCAGAATCTCCTGGATATCTCCTTCAAGGTCTTTAAATTTACTTTCTGGCTCAAAATTCGTTTAGTCTGGCTTTCAGTATGAAAACAAGAGTTTCAGACACTCAGACTATTGAGGAACACATATTATGCTGTGTTTTCTCCCCTGTCCTTCAAGGGGTAATTATTTCCGGCTGGAACACTAAGGAAATAAGATGATGATCAGTCACTAGGTCTGTCTCTAGAGAGACCACAGAGTTAGAAGAAAACAATGAAGTCAGGGCCTCATTAGGATTTAAGAGTCCCAGAAAAAGCACCTCACCTAAGTCCAAGGTGGAAGACATGTAAGCAAGGTTTCCTGTGCTTTCAACTCCCAACGTGTAACAGCATTTAACAGTGAGCCTCTCCCAAGACCAGGCCAGCCCCATCCTGTGATCAGGTACTAGAGACCAGAAATCAGCATATAGTAGCTAATCCGACATTCCTGGTGAGAACCTCTGCAAACGTGGCATGCTGCACCATGGTTATCAACTTGTTTAAGCAAGATACAGAGTCTAGAATCAGGAGAGGTGAGAGCCAGAAATGATCTTAATTTAGTTTAGGAAACTAAAACTCAGAGAACTTAACTGTGTACTCACAGCTGCACACCGTCTAGAATAGACCATCAGGTAATCCAAGAGATGGAAGAGTATATGTATATAAGACTAAGTTAAAAATAAAAGTTAATTTCAGAATTTACAACAGGAGTTAGGTTTAGGTCATTATTATAGAAAAAGGCCCTTGAAATTTAAAAACATCAAAAAAAAGTTATAGGATTCCAATGTATTTTACCAAATAAGGTAGATCAGTCCAAGTCTATCCCTATATAGGGATCTGAACTTGTGCATGTTCCTATCCCCTCAATAAAATAGCATAAAATTAAAAGTACCACAACGAGGCCTCTTCTTTAGGAAAGTACCTAAAAAAAAACTTACGTACAAAAAAAAAGCCATTGTGGATTAAAAAAAAAAGAAAGTAGAAAAAGAACTAAATACACAGCTCACAGGCTATCCCATATATGGAGAGCATAACACCCACCAAATAGTTTCTGTTCCTGGACTCAGAAATGATTAAAACTTAACTGAAGCTATAGGCACTTTCCTTCATTTCAATAATATTCAACCAATCCAGGCTCCTTCACAATGACCACAGAGGAAAGCCCTGTTGGCCCCAGGATTGGTAAACCCCATATCCCTGGTATACATGCTCAGATGCACAAGCAGAGGCCATGAGGCCACCTCCAATGCCCACCATGGGAGGCCCAGGCAGCTGCACTACTCCAGGGCAGCTACAGACTTGGGTGGTAGGAAGAGAATATGGGGTGCCTGGCTCTGCAGGAGGTGGGGAGAGCACCGGGACTTTCCTGATTGGGAGCAGAATACAGGACGGGGCCAAATAGGACAACTTGAAAAAGGCCTCATTTGCTTATAAAGAGGTGAGAATTTCCCATGTTTATTTTCATCAGCTTGGGAAAAGAGGAAACAAGAAAAATTCTTTGTGGATGTTATAATACTCAGACCCAGGTGTGTAGTTATTGAACTAAAGACCTTGATATTTTTGTCCAATTCATTACTGTTACACAAGAGACAATGAAAACAAAGGAATTTATATATAGTGGTACTAGGGATGACATAATTTATCACCGGCTTTGAACTGCATGTGAGGTATGATGCTAACATGACTGTTACCTGGCAACAAGTGAAGAGTTACTTCCTTCTCTGTTACTTCCTTTTCGTTTGTGTGAATTTCCTAAAAAAGAAGAGCAAAGGGTAATATTTTTCTTTGTTTAAAGACTCAAAATGAAGAACATAAAGCCATGCCTTCAGAACACACACTAAAACGTCCCATACCCTTAGAAGACTTTAGTTGACAAGCTAGTTACTTTTTTAAAAAGTGTTTTTAACTAAAGGAAGACAAAAAATTCCAACAAGTCAAGGATATTCAATATATTAAACTAATTACTTAGCACTGACAATTGTTACTTGTCCCAAGCAGAGGGGCAGGGTTGGGCACTTCTTATCTAAAGGGAGAACTTGGGGTGTCACACAGCACACTAAGGAAGCTCAAACAGAGTCAGAAAGAGCACAGAAGACATGCCACTGCATGATTTCCCTCTCCCTCCAGTAAGAGTCAAGGGTTGAAAGCAAAAGAAGATTGTGTGTCCTTGAAAATGGACACATGTCAAAAGCTGGAAGGTAAGAATAGGAAAATACGAATGTGTCAAGTCAGTACTGATCCACCTAGTCTATAGCACACCAGAGCTCAGTAAACACAGCTGGAACATTCTTTGCCCATTCTAAGTTATCTAAAACCATAAGACAAGGGGTGCAATCACTTCTAATAGAGAATCAAGGCAAGGGTTCTGTGTCACTGTTTCTCAATAAAAAAAAACCCTTCAAGTGCCTCCATTTTGGGTTCAGTATTTTTTTGATATTCAAAGATAATTAGCAAGCCGTAATGAATTAATGGACCAAAGCCACAATCATAAATGGCTGTTAACATAACAAAAAGAGAGGCATGGTGGGCCTCATCATGAAGTCTACCACA